TCATTATCTCCTCATGTTCTCTTAGAAGGATTTTTGTTTAATAGGTTACCAGGCAAATGCACAGAAACCGCAATCAAGGGTTGGAGAACACAGGTGACAGTAGCAAGTTTCTTTGATTTTTTTTTTCTAATCATTGTTAATTGATAGTGCAGTAGTTCCACAGGTGAGCTCAGCAGTTGGAGTCACTGGTAAATCAAGAGGCTTTTTAAATTTTAAATGTTCAAACATATAAAAATGTCCATAATTATGATGCTCTGAATTTCACAAACACCCAAGGTAAGAAGAACGTGGCACTATTCCAAATTAATTTAGTCTTGCATTCTAAAGGCTTGAGATATTGATGGCTGGAATTTGGAAGCTTCTTAGATTGCAGCTCATGTGCTTAGAAGTATGTATTACATGCTAATGAAGCTGGTATGGCAAAGCATAATACTAAAAGCAGTACCAATTAAATGGTGATTAAATTCCTGGTGATTGTGTTTATGATGATACTCATCCAAATATAAAAGAGCAATCATAGCGATGTTGGATTCTAATGATTTGGTATTGCATAGAACATTCCTGGCAAAAAAAAGAATTCTACAATCCATCTTGTATTCTCTCCACTTAGGAAATCCTAAAACTGGCTCAAATCCCAAAAATATTTATTTCCATTGCCAGCATTAGACTAATATTGCTAATTTATTTAAAAACTCCTATTCTTCTTTTTAGCCAAACTAAGCTCAAAGTTGAAGGTTTCTTATAAATGATTAATCATCCTAAAATGATGAGACCTTTAACTTATTTCTAGAATTACATTTCTTTACTATCAAACCGTATATTTAAATGCCTTTGCAAGATCTGCCACGCTTTTTTACCATTTGCTCTTACGAGATTTTCTTTGAGAAGGAACCAGATGGAGAACTGATACACCTTTATTGGATCTGATAGTTTGTATAATGATAAAAAAGGAATAAATCTGAGTCATATCAAAAGCAGTTTCATCCAACATCATGCCCGATAGTGAACAACAAGAAGACTTTGAGAGCAATAGTTTTCTCAAGCTTTTCTTTATTAGTGATGGGGAGTCAGAGTCAAATTATATATAATGACTTAGTTTTACTATCAATTTAAGGGTTATTTAATTTAATTTAAGAGTAATATCTCACAGTTATATTCAATAAGATAAGAGTATTATTTCAAAGTGGATTTTTAAAAGGGTGGTTGAAGACATGTCCTAGTCCAGTACCCACAGGAAATATGGGATTTCAATATTCAATCAGTAGAATCAATAATTCCTCATGGTAGAGATTATAATCCAACATATCTGGAAGATACCAAGTTGCATAAACCTGCTTTAATGTTTTAGTTGCAACCATTGAGAGCAATTTAATAAAGGTAGAATTAATGTGCTTTTAAATATGTTTGGCAGATTTTTAACAGTAATAACTGGCTTCAGGATTGCAGTTATATGGTTAAATAATAAAATTGTATTAGTTAGCCTTTAAAACAGAACAGAAATATATATTTATCATTTTAAATATTAATATACTTTTATAAAAAGTCCATATATGTAAACATTTACAAATTTAGTACTGTATAATATTTCTTTTATGCTGTGTAATTCTGCACCTTAGGTTAGATTGATGTGTGTATAGTTCTTTTATCAAAAGTAAAATATTATGATCATATTATTTAATTTTTAAAAAGTACATTCCTTTAGCCAGTCAACATTTGTTAGAATGAAGGAAGCAGTGAAATAAACTTGAGGGTATATAAAAAAGTACATTTGGAATAAGCAGCCCATGGTCTGTACATAGTTGCTGTAGTTCTTCTCTAATTTTTTTGGCCCCAGATACCTTGGATATTATGCTGCCAAAAATGTAGTGGCAAATTGCCAAATTACAAAGTTTTCAAGAAAGCAAATGTGGGTGAACATACCACAATGTGTCAGAATGGATGAAAACTCAAGCAGAAATATTACCTCAGAGGGGACTAAAATTCCGGCCCTTTCTAATCTCTATCACAGACCCTTTGTATTTTTCAAAGCTTCCCAAGGCGGAAGATGTTTTCCACCTTTGATGTGCAGTAATGCTTGTTTAAGGAACCATGCAGAAAGATACATGACTACAAAGTGGAAGTGCTCCTGGCTTGATACATAAAATTTCACACCATCATAAAAAGTAATGATACTGGTTAATTGCCATTTTTTTCCAACAGAGTTACAGTTCCTGTTTCCATAAGTTAATTTTATTAAACTTTCAGTAAGGATATACATGTGCAATTTAAATGTAAGTCTCTTTCTACTGGAAGTCATTAAAAATAAGAGTTTACTCCAGTCAGTTTAAAATTGAGTCTGAATAATAGCAATAACAAAAACAATCCATAAGAACAGAAGGAATACCCAACAGATTTACCACTTAGGCAGCAAGCATCATGCAGTATTATCTGTCAGAGAGTAAATTAAATATTTTCTTCTGATAAACAGCTTTTCCGCACTTGAAACAGCCTGATTGCTATCACTTCTTTTTGTGCCTTTTGTGATGATTTCTACTACATTTTAAATTGGGGTAAATAGAAATACTTTTACTGTAAAACATTCTATCCATAGCAAAATATGCTAAGAGAAATTACTGGTGGGCCATCACTTCTGTGATGTGATGAGGACTAAGGCTAAGCGGTCATCCTCTGCTATGGTATCATTTCACCCCATGAGGTGGAACTTTCCTGACCTTTTGAAAGATAGTGAAGCTGGATTTCTTCCAGAGGTTCTGAAGTTAATTGACTAAAGAGAAAGCCCTTTCATGATTGATTGGAATTTAATGTGTAAAGATGTTTTTATTTGCTTTTAACTTAGACATTTTAAATGTTATTTGCCACAGATTATTTAAATATCTTAAGTATCTTATATACTGCAAAATCCAATCTGAGTTGGTCATCAGAATCAGAAGTTTGTTTCTCTAAGCTTTTGGACTCATGCTGGAGTCCATCCTCAGGGAAATTCTTAGTTTCCAGGATGCCTTTCTTATCTTATATACTGTTCAGAATCTTTTGATTGTAGCAGAATGAAAATTGAATGTCCTGCTTTGTAATCTGTTATTTTTGTTTGATGAGGTATGACAGTTTGAGAATTGTACTTTCATGTTTTCACTTCAAAAGGAGAGAAATACCTTAGATAGATGCAATTTGTTAGTTTCTTTAAAAATTCAGTTGGAAAATTAAATGAAATTGCACATAACTTGGCAAGATTTGCTCACTCAACAAGTTTTAGGACTGCAGCGTGGTACAATTATCATTGCAGCATAATAAAATAAATAAAATTTATTTATTTATATAAAATATAAATTTATAAAATAAAAAAAAAAAGAAAAATATCAAATTAATTTGGCTTGGAATTATGGTGCAAATCCATTATAATACCTTTTCTCTATAAATTTTATTTCTTAAATTTATATGCTGCTCATCTCATCGATAAAGCAACTCTGATACAAGAAATAGTATCTTGAATTTGAATTTATTTCCTAGTTGGTGTGATATGAACTAAAATAGGTTGCTTGCAAGGGAAAATATAGACTGGTGGGATGGATCTGATTAATCTTTTTTTTAAAAAAGCCAATTATTATTAAGTATTATGTGGACATGGTAGAAGTAAGGAGTAAGAAGATAAAAAGATATGGAAAGGTATAGTGAATGCTATTACTGTAAATTAGGTTATCTTTTTCCTTTTTAAAAATCTTTAACTTTATTATGATCACTAGGAAACATTTTTAAAACATATTTGCTTTTATCAACAAAACAGAAAAACAGAAAAATGAACATTCACACGAACAAAAAGAAAAAAAAGCTTGTGTACAAAAAAAGAAAAGAAAAAATGTCAAATGTCATATAGATCTAATATTAAACATAAGAAATCTACCATGTCTGGATGCTGAAAAATAAATAAAAAACCTAATATGTTCTTCTCCCCTTATGTAACAGGTCTCAAATAGTTATAAACTTTCCCATCTATATTTAGCAAAATTCTATATTAAGTACACAAATATCACAGATATGGAAATCTGTCTAATAATCAAATTGACCCAACATCTAATCACAATATATATGTAAAAGAAAAAAAACCCAGTGAACAGGTTGTCCTAAACATTACACTAATCTTCAAATCCCTCTGTTCACCATCTGTCATTTAATTTATAGAAAATCCACAAATGGCTTCCAGTCTCTTATAAAGTTGCCTAATCTGGTGTCTCTAATCAAGGCAGTTAGTTTTGCCTTTGCTAAATCAGTCAGTTTTAAAATCCATTATTCAGTAGTCAACATTCCCTTTTTTCCAAATGCTTAGTATATACAATCCTTGCAGCAGCCACCATACAAAGAAATAGTGTCTCAAACTGTTTTTCAATTGGTTTGTCCATAATACCTAAAATAAAAGTTTCAGGTTTCATTAATATTTGTGTCTTAAATATTTTCTATCTATGTATGCCAATGATACATCATTTTGTAAAAAATTTATTTCAAACCATAATTCAATCTCTAACCAACATTTTATGCAACTAATATATGTTACAAAGTACAAATTCAGAAAGCCTAGATATTTTCTAAAATCAATAGAAACACATGAAATAATTCACTATTAACTCTATAAACACAGATAATAAAATACTATGGAATTTAAATGTTAAAACTAATTGATAGAATTATAAAACTATGTTGTCTCTGATAGATAAACTAATTATGACCACCATAGTGTATATAATACCACGAACATCCTACATGTGAATATTCTTGTCTTTCTAAATAGATCTTTTGGACAATTATTCCTGGTGGGTTTTTTATTTATACAGGGTCTTAAAGTAATTAGACTATCTTACCATTACAATGCAATATTATTTAGAGGGGACCAACTGTCAAAATAAAGTGTGAACAGTAGATTATTGGGTAAAGGAGTTTGTTTGAGGGAAGCTGGTTTAGATTCTGTAGAGATACTACGATGAAAAATTCCCATAATGACTCTTTTTGTTCAGTAGGTTCATTGATGGAAGTCCTTCTTTGAGACGAGTGACTATGATGAGAGAAAAGGGAAGACGACAAGCTATCAGAGGTCCAGCTTTTATGTTTAACGACAGGGGCACAAGCCTCACAGCTGAGGAAGAGCGTTTTCTGGATGCTGCAGAATATGGGAATATTCCTGTGGTGCGCAAAATGTTGGAAGAGTCAAAAACATTAAATGTGAACTGCGTTGACTATATGGGCCAAAATGCCTTGCAGCTTGCTGTAGGCAATGAACATCTTGAAGTGACAGAACTTTTGTTAAAGAAAGAGAATCTGGCACGGATTGGAGATGCACTGTTGCTTGCAATCAGCAAAGGATATATCCGGATTGTGGAAGCAATCTTGAATCATCCTGGATTTGCAGCTAGCAAGCGGCTAACTCTGAGCCCTTGTGAGCAGGAACTCCAAGATGATGACTTTTATTCTTATGATGAAGATGGCACCCGCTTCTCCCCAGACATCACACCCATCATTTTAGCTGCTCATTGTCAGAAGTATGAAGTGGTACACATGCTGCTAATAAAAGGGGCAAGAATAGAGAGGCCCCATGATTATTTCTGTAAGTGCAATGATTGCACTGAGAAACAGAAGATTGATTCTTTTAGCCATTCTAGATCAAGAATAAATGCATACAAAGGGTTGGCCAGTCCAGCCTATCTATCCTTATCTAGTGAAGATCCAGTACTCACTGCTCTAGAACTTAGCAATGAGCTTGCCAAACTGGCTAATATTGAAAAGGAATTCAAGGTAAGTCTCTTTTTTCATACTTTCTCTTTTCTTGCTTTACACTATTCTGACTTTACATTATTTTTCTGCATTTTATCTGAAGGCTCTTACTCTTTTTGGGGTCAATGGGCACATCTGGAATTTTGAGAACATCGTATAAAATGAACACTATGCTGGGTTTATTGAATTAAATAGCTCTCCATTTGCCAAACTTTAAGCTGGGATGATTGCTTCCTACAGATTCCTAAATTCTACTCTAGGGTGCTTGTACCAGACTTTTTGTTGTCCTGGTAAATGGCCAGGTTTCTAAATCAAACAATGGACTGAAGTCCCCAGTGCTTTTTTTTTGTTAAAAAAAAAAAAAAAAAGGTGCCAGAACTCACACACGTTATACAATCCGCCTTGCCTGCCCTACAAGGTGCCATCCAAAAAAGGTACCGGAACTCTGTTCTGGATGTTCTATGACAAAAAAAGCTCTGGAAGTCCCCAATCATTTTAATTTTCTACGAATGCACTTATAGGTACATGCAGGGGAAAAAGCATTATTTTTTAATCTGGAAAGATGGATTTGGTATTTGCTTTTTAGCATGCTAGTTATAGTTATTTTTTAAAAAACTAAAATGAAGAGTACAGACTCTGGCAATTGCCATACATCCACGACTCAAGCCTTATCTAATCCTGCTTGTGTTGCTGTTATGATGTAACGTTCCTTTGAAAAATAGCTTTGCTTCAAATGAAAATAATATGGTACTTGCCTTGGTAGGTACCAAATAAAATAATGAAAAATGAGCTCTGTGAAAACCAAATGAGTATCCAAATTTTAGGTCCTAAATAACTAATGATTAAAGTATTGGACTTGGTACATAAGAGTCCCAGGCTCAGATAGTTGTAGACATTAAAGTCCCTGGGTGACTTTAGGCCAGCCCGATCTACATTGCAATGTGGTTGTTGTAAGGAAAATAAGAAGGAAATGCTTTGTTAATTGTGTTGAGCTCTATTATACAAATCTAACAAATAAATGATTTTTCTTATGTCCATTCACAACTTTTGAACATTATGGTTTGTATCATGTGAATTTTGAATGCTTTTATCATTTTCCCATCTAAATAATATTATGATCACTGTATAATAGGTATGTGTTTACAGTTCCATGATTCTATTAAAATGTGTATAATTGTACTGTTCACTTTCTCCCCGTGTTTACATATTTTAACATCACAATTATATTGATTATACTATTTTTTCTTGATTTCTTTCATTGTTTATTTGGCTCCTTTTTTGTGAGTGTTTGTTCAGATTCCATATCAACTAGTATATAAAATTAGAATTCTAGCCCCTGAAAAATCTTCATTTACTGAAAAAGAAAAAAATGAGTCAGAAGAGACAGATTGTAAACAAAATTAGTTATACAAATGACACGTCTTTCCAACTGTAACAAACATTTCAATAGGGTCTTTCAGGGTCACTGTTAGATTACACTTTTTAAATTAACTTTCCCTTAAATTATTATAAGCAGGCAGAAAACACATTAATGTGTGAAACTGTTTCAAGTCTAGAGAACTGTGAAGAAAATACATGTTGATTTGTGTTTGAGTATGTATTTGTGGGATGATGCAGGAGCAAAAATTGGTGGTCATTGTATGTTTATTAGCCTGCCTTAAAACATAGAAATGAATAAATCAGAGTCCAGTCATATTATGCAATTCAGTTCAGCTTCAATGATATTTATTATTTAAAGCAACTGCTGTGAAATTAAAACTTGACCTATTTGCAAATCTGATGTTTTGTATAACTGCCATTATATTCAGATTAAATAGTTTGATGTTTAATCATTTCATTTTAAAAATTTGTGTTTGATTTACATTATAAACTCATAGAGCAATAGGCATATAAGAATGACCTTTCTGCAATATGATGAGTGAAGTGTTCTCAGTTTATAGCAGCTTTGCAGATTTTCTTATATATATTGTGCTAAGGTGATCCATTATTGTATGTATGTAATTTGGAACTGCCTTTCCTGTTAGATAATTTATGTGTCTAGATACTGTAAAATCTGACAATAGTTAGAATTACAAAAATAGTTTTGTAATGAAGTGATAAAAACCTGAAACCTAAAAACCTAAAAACCTCAATCCTAGTTGAGAAAGCGGGTCAAAGACTCAAAGACTGAAGCCTTGCCCTTCTGTATGTTCATTGTGCTGCATGTGAAAAAGAGACATAGCTATGATTGAATGGTTGTTGCCACCATGTTAGATTTTGATACCCCTGCAGACACTCCTCCTGACAGTGATTGTATCAGTGACAGTAACACCTAGAATAAATTTTTCTGACATTAGATTCTTAACAGAATAACAGAGTTGGAAGGGATCTTGGTGGTCTTCTAGTCCAACTCCCTGTTCAAGCAGGAGACCCTATATCATTTCAGACAAATGATTGTCCAATCTCTTCTTAAACAACCTCCAGTATTGGAGCACTCACAAGTTCTGGAGGCAAGTTATTCCACTGATTAATTAGTCTAACCATCAGGAAATTTCTCCTTAGTTCTAAGTTGCTTCTCTTCTTGATTAGTTTCCATCTATTAGTTTCCAACTATTGCTTCTTGTCCTGCCTTCAGGGGCTTTGGAGAATACGTTGACCCCCTCTTCTTTGTGGCAGCCCCTCAAATATTGGAACACTGCTATCATGTCACCTCTTTCTTTTCACTAGACTAGACTAGACATACCCAATTCCTGCAACCATTCTTTATGTTTAGCCTCCAGGCCCCTAATTATCTTTGTTGCTCTTCTCTGCACTCTTTTTAGAGTCTCAACATCTTTTTTATATTGTGGCGACCAAAACTGGATGCAGTATTCCAAGTGTGGTCTTACCAAGGCATTATGAAGTGGTACTAACACTTTATGTAATCTTGATTCTATCCCATTATTAATTGGCTTTTTTGCAGCTGCAGCACACCTCATATTTAAGTGGCTGTCCATTAGCAGTCCTAGATCCCTCTTGCAGTTACTGCTTTTGAGCCAACAGTGTGCTGCAGCCACAAAAAAAGCGCCACCTATTCTATATCTATGTGTTTGGTTTTTCTTGCCTCAGTGTAAAACATTTTTTTCCCCATTGCATTTTATTTTGTTGGACCCAATGTTCAATTCTGTCGAGAACCTTCCGGATCTTGAATCTATCTTCTGGGGTGTTGGCTATTCCTGCCAGCTTGGTGTTGTCTGCAAATTTGATGAGTTCCCCTCTATTTCCTTATTTAATTCATTTATGAAGATGTTGAAGAGTACTTGGCCTAAGACAGAATCTTGGGGTACCCCACTGCATACTTCTCTCCATGTGGATGTAACTCCATTAAGGACTACATGTTGAGTGTGGTTTCTCAGCCAGTAACAAATCCAACTAGTGGTGATGTTGTCTATCCCACATTTTTTTAGCTTACCAAGAAATAGGTTGTGGTCTACTTTGTCAAATGCCTTATTGAAATCCAAGTGTACTAGGTCCACAGCATTTCGCTGGTTCATTAATTTAGTCACTTTGTCAAAAAAATGAGATAAGATTTGTTTGGCATGATCTGTTTTTAACAAACCCATGTTGAGGTATTGCAATTCAAATACAGCAGGTTTTCTTTAGTTGAAGAAATAAAAATGGATAATTTTTGAAATGAAATTTAACAAAAATTTTTTTTAGAAGAAATACGCTATTTCTCATTTCATATTGGGAAGAAAATTAAAAAATAGGTTCAAACAAGACATAATATGGCTTGACATGAATGGATAATATATCCAACTATTTTAGCTGAATGAACAATCCATAGTTTAAAAATAATGATTAGATTGATATATGAATGCAGTAATTATTTGTCCAAAGAGTGTGATATAGAAATGTCATAATTTGAATCCAGGAAATTTTCAACTGAGTGCAGCTAATTATATTTACAAAATCTTAGTAAGCTTTGATCTTTTGTTGATGTAGTAACTTGCAAGTTGTTCTTACTCTACAAAAATCAAGCATGGCAGTAGCTGTCCATTAGAGTATTTCTTGTGATTATTAGATCTTAAATTTATGAGAGCTGCAGAAAAGAGTAATTGCTGAGAGAACACTGATTAAGAAGCAGAATCAATTAGGGATGGGGAGAATTTAATTTGCTTCATACTCTTATACTAGTTAACAGTACATTTTAATTGGCTTTTATCATTTCTTTCTCACCCTATATTGTGCTTAGCAAGGCTTTTTTTAAAAAAAAAACCTACAATGACTTTAAAACAATAGCAATTTCATATACCTCAGATGCTAACCAACATAGAACATTTGTTTTCAATCTTGTAAGCGGCCCAGAGCCTCTTGTGTAAGATAGCTATACAAATGATACAAATTAAATAAATAAAATAAGGCTTTGGCTGAGTTGAAGCCTTTTGCTGGAGAAAACAAAAAACAGACATGTAGAGCATTACATTTTCTTCCTGTGTTCTCTTTCCCTTGCTAGAATGAATGTAGCTTTCCTGTGTGCCATAAAATGCCTAAGCCTGATGCAATGGCTTTTTGTTGACCTGTTATACATTTTAGTTAAAGCAGATCCAACTCAGTGGCAGGCCCTTTGAAGCTACTTCCAAACCATTTTCCAAGTGAAGGAGAAGTGGTTGGTCTCAGTTTCTAGATCCATTGCTATAGGAACATGATAACAACGAAACAGTTAGAAATAAATTGTCACTGTTGATAGCAATTTAACCAATCAACTCTAAATTTCTATAGGCCTCATAGGTGAGCCCTCTTAGTATATTATTTCCAAAATAATTTTAAAATGTATTAGTCATTTTACAAAGATCCTTGCTTTATGTAATTGCTCAATTAAGAGTTGATACTAGGCTCCTATTGTGCAACATTGCAAGGTATGTATAGAATCTATGGTAATATATGTTGTACATTCTGGCATTTTTATTGTGGCGTAGTTTCTGAGCAGTTTAAGTCATGTGGCTACGATGTAAAGAAATTGTTGCACTACTTTAGATATAATTACATGTATGTAAGTAGGC